AAGAGTTCATTTAGGCCAGAAAGCTGGCCACCCCAAAGCACCTCTCTATTTCTCCTGGTTTTTAGCAGCTCTGATTGCAAGTTTATCCATCCTGTGGCATAATGGTTATGTGTTGGCTGCGATCTGAAAGGTCAGCAGTTCAAAACAACCAGCAGCTCCTTGGGAGAAAGACGGTCCTTCCTAGTCCTATAATCAATTACCGTCTCAGAAGCTCACACGGCAGTTCTATCCGGTCACCATGAGTCTATGTTGACTCAATGGCACTGGGAGTTTTCTCTCTCTCTCTCTCTCTTCCTCTCTCTCTCTCTCTTAAATATATGAAAGAGCTTCAAGTTCATAGGAAAATGCCATTATCTTTAACTTGAATTTTTTCATGAACTTTTAGAAGTCCCTTGAATATTACTTGTTGTTTTCTTTTTTCTCCTCCCTGCAATAAAGTTTTTCTTTTAGCGAAAAGGGGACCAAGGATTGACTTTGAAGGAGGGGCAAAAAGGTCCACTATCTTCTCATTGCCAATTAATGATTCCAACTCAGAGTGACCCGGAGGACACTCAGCAAGGTTGAAGTGTGTGTGGTAAAGATGAAAGTGTGTTGCCTGACCAAGAAAAAGGATGGTTGATCTTCTATAACTTTAAAGTATTAAAGAGAGTAATTAGGTTAATTGTTCCAAATCAATTCAGGAAGGATTTATCAAACCGTATTAGGTTGATGATACCAACTTTCAGCTGCTTTGGGGATTCAGCAATGAATAGTTTATTTGTCTTCAAAAAGCTTTCAATCTACTGGAGAAAGATGTTTTTTTTAAAAGCCCACAGTGATTGGAGACAGACGAGGCAGTGCTTGCAGAGGAAGAAAAGTGCGGTGTCTTCTTCATCGTTGACACCTGTATACTACGTCACCATTGAGAACATCCGTGAAGAATGATGAACGCAGATGCACTGTGGCATGAGGCCTTCACTTTGCAATGTATGCATCTACTAGCCACTACCCTTGAAAAGACTGTTTTGTAATCATAGACGTAGATCTCATGCCATGAGACGGGAGGTGACCCTCCGGCTAACCTAAGCTCATGCATAGGAGCAGTGATAATCCGTTAAAAAACTACCTCTTGATTACTACAATTTATAGAGAAGCAACAGAAAATTAAGTCAAAGATTATCACTAAAAATTGTTTTAGCTAAAGTTTGTGCATCGTTTTTTCTAAGACCTATCTAAATCCCAGTTTTACTCTTGGATACGTAAGTTTTATTGCAGGGCATGTGGTTACTATGAGCCATTTATGACTTTTGAAAACTCAAAGGCCATTCTCCCAAACCTGATCTTCCCTTTCAGCTGCGGCATTCCAGCAAAAGGTCCATAAGGAGCCAGAGGAGGTGTGGTTTCCCTTCTGTGTTTCTGGCTGAAGATTCTTCTAGTTTTCTTCGACCTTGTTCCAGCTTTTACTTGCTTTTCCTTCGTGCCCCATGTTATCCTATCACTTCTCTTTCAAATAAACGTCTAGATGAGAGTACCAAGAAAATTCCATGCATTCTTCCAGAACACCGTAAGCAAAGATGAATGCAGTAAATATTCTGAGAAATAACAGATTTCTGACTCTCTCGTGAAACACCCACCAGCACGGACTGCTTTAGGTCCCAGCGACTCAGTTCGATGAGGATTGCTGCCGATGAAGAATAGTATCTAATGACTTCAGCTGATAGTACATTAGCTTAGGGTTTCATTGAACAACTACTGACTGCCAACTGTGTGGCAGGCATTATTTGTGTTGGAAGTACAAAACAATGAAGACATACGGCTCTTACTTCTATGGGGCACATCATGAAAGTAGGGGACGGAAGGAATGTACTATACAGTTGCTATAAAATATTAGGCTGCAATACAACTTTGTTTTCCATGGAAGGGACACCTCACCCAGCACGGCGAAGTGCGGGAAGTCTTCCCAAAGGAGACCGTGTCATTAGTTGAGCCGGGCAGAGAAAGCACTTGGGGCAAAAGAGCGTATTGAAGTGAGGCACAGCATGATCGTATGGCTTCTCTGGAGAACTGCAAATGCATACAAAGACATATACCCCACTGACCAGAGGGTCGGAAAGACAGTGGAGCAGCATGGAGGACCGTCTTTGGAGGAAGAGGTGCTGCAATGGGCCCTTCCCCTGCCCCACTGTGCCCTTGCTGAGTGGTTGGGAGAGGACCACACAGTGTGCATGCCCCAAGACACGAAGAGAGCTGTGAGATTCCCGCCACTGTCACGAGGCCCGATTCTATGGTTAGGGCAGAGATTTGTTAGGCCTTCTAACCAAGAAGTATAAAAATGACATTAGAGTTTGACTAGTTTTTCTTCTGAATGGAGAACGGCTCAGAAATCCCCGCACACAGAAACACCCTGTACAGCCATTTCCTCCGCAGGCAGCAAAGACATTGCCTGAAGAAACCTCTTGTTCAGGAATCTCCCACCCACCTGCAGATGACCCTGATTCCCGGCATTAGCCAAATCGCATCTCCCCATCCGCAAATGTGCCCCCTTAACTTGTTCTGTAAGACCCTGCTAGTCTGTACAGAGAGGGCATTTTGACTCAGGTCAGAGGCCTCTCTCAGGCTTCCTCCAGTAAACCTGTCCCCCACCATTGAGTCTTTCTGTCTGTCTTTCCTACTGCATAGATTCTGACATCTTCTTTAAAAAAAAATCTAAATCCACAAATTATGCAAGAACTTTTTACTTTGTCAATTTGTGTTAAACAAATAACTTATTAGAGTGGAGTGAGCATCCCACGAATGGGGAGGGGTTTTCATAGAGCCACATGCCTTCTCCCCGTTTGATACTGACTGTAAAATATTTTTGGTCATTTGACTTTGAAGCATTATGCTTGCATAGACCGAATGAATGAAACTCACTGCCAGTTACTCAATCCCGGTGGGCTGCTAACCGAAAGGTCAGCAGTTTGAAACCACCAGCCACTCCACAGAGAAAGAGAAGGCTTTCTACTCCTGCCTTGGAAACCCATAGGGGCAGTGTTGCTATGAGTCAGATACCTGCACATATATCCCACTTACTTGACATTTAGTAAAGAGAATGGCGGTCTGGCTTTGTCTCATGGGACAACTATATGTAGTAGCCATAAGGTTGCTGAATCCATTGCCATATTTAGTGGTGACTGTCCCACTGATGGGTCAGGCGACGTGGTTCTGGTGTGAGAGGTCACCATTGACCCGCATCTCTGGTCATCTTCTGGGTGAATGTGTCCTTTTGATGGAGTGGTGCGTCCATCAAAACACCCTCTGATGGTTCTCCTTGAGAAGCTAAGACCCTAGCGGATTTTCGTTAGTCTACCAAGTTCGTATGTTTTCTGTGTTGCCATGGTCCCGTGACGGTGAACCTCGTTTTCTGATTCGACCCCTGCCTACGCTCCATTCCACCCACTGCAAGGCGCCAGGTTACCACCGAAGGAGCACAGACCGTGCCCGAGAGCGGAAACAAAGGCGTGGGTATTTTTTTAAAGAAAAAGTCTGAACTTTTAAGCGGAGCATGCATTATCTGCCACGTTTTTCACCTTCCTTCAAGGAGCAAGTGGACCCCCGAAAAGGAGCTCTCTGGTTCCTGGACAGATTTTCACACAGGGAAGCTGTTAGATGTTTACGCTGGCAAAGCCACCAGACACATTCCCGAGTGTCCGACCTTCGTGTCCCCTACTTAGTCATAAGTCCGTCATTTTCTTCTGAGTGGATGGCAGTGACACTTTGTGTGGATCTAGGTTATGAGATGCAGATTGCAAAGACCTTTTCCCCTTTCAGTTTGGGGTGGGTATTTTCTATGATTATTTGTGTTTTTATCAATGTCATTGAAGTTTCCCTGAACGAAATTACTTGTGCTGGAATTGGTGGTGTGAGATTGGTTTTCTTTATGCAACTATTTTCTTCTCATACTTTCTATTGGCGCAATTATGAGAATTTCCTTTTCAATCCTCCTGTAATCCTTCCTAGTTTATAAACAGCCTTTCAAAGAAACTTGCAGGGCCTTCTGGGTGATAGAAGTTTCTAACTTGGGTGAATTAAGAGTGCAGGATCTTTGAATGGCACTTTTCTATCTGCTCTGAATTAACAAAACAGCTCTTTGGTGACTGTAGGTAGGGCTGCTGGTGTTTAAAAATACAAATCCAACCCATCCTATTTTGGTGAGAAAATGGAATAATGGTTTAAAAACAACTCCCCCCCCCCCAAACTACCTTCATTGATTGTGTCTACTCAGTTTTGTACTTTATTACATTGTAAACTCATCTGTTCCTCATTCTTATCCCTTCTTCCCTTCTGAAACTTTCTATACAAAGTGAAAGAACCAATTGGGGGAGGAGGTACAAAGTAGACTTTATGTAAATGGGGAGGGTTCCCACAAGTTTGAATGAACAAGAATGGTATAATTTTTAAAAGATATATGTGTGTATACCATTGACTTTTGCATGTTTAACATCTATTAAAAACTTAATATGAAGTTCTTAGAATGTAACGCAAAGGTGTCTTAAAAATCTTAAAGAACTTGTTTAGCCCTGTTTTCTTAAATCAAGGCAATATTTTTTCCTTCATATTAGTATTCGTTGAAAAAAAGTCACAATAGAAATAGAAGGTTTGCCTTTCATGATAGCACAGGTGGTCACTTATCTAAATTTATCTATGTTTAGTTATTGTCTGCTTTCGATAAACACAACAGAGGAAAATCCAGATATCGAATGGGTAATTTGACAAGCAGTCAGCCTGATGGATTTTAAACACAAATCGTTCACCAAAATATGAATTGTTGGAGTTTCACATGCCACCTGATAATCGAACAGCTGCCGTTCTCTGTGCATTAGGCTGTCCTCGACTTTATTCTTTCTCGTTTGAATTCCGTGATTAAAAAGTGTATTAAAAACCATTAAAACCCTAAAAAAAAAAAAGGGAAAAACAAACACCATTGCTCTTTGTGTCTGCACATTTACAGTCCTTCCCCCCCTTTTCTCTTTCTCGGACAGACATCAGCTTACCAAAGTCGGCGACCATATGCTACACAGCTGCCTTACTCAAAGCACGAGCTGTCTCCGACAAGTAAGTGAATCCTAACTTCTGCGATCCTAAACGCCTGCCCTGACTGGAGATGTGTTGCCTCTGAGGGCTTTCTCTGGAAGTTTCTCCCAGTGCCTAAGACCCCTGCTTATGAGCATGTGTTTTCCCACACCTGCTGATCTTTCCTTTCACTGTTAGAAGGAAGAAATGTATGTCCCCAGGTATCAAAAGGGAGTAGGGGTTCCTAAGGAGGGATTTAGGTGGAAATGTTATGCCTCTGAGGTGACTTTTTTTTTTCCTTTTATTATTATTATTTTTTATTGCCAGGCGTAGATACCAAAAGGCTTGCTTGGGACTTCCACAAAATGCCTTCCTTTCATTCACTTTTGGCGTGTCTCTCCCTTCAGCAGTCCACACTTGGGTAGTGGTCCTGACGTGTCATGCGGCCCAGGCATGGTCGGCCCCCTTTCGCCACCGGGCCCATTCCAAACCACGATCCCCACCCCAGGGCCCATTCCATCTGAGTTGCCATCTCAGTGGGGCATTTGGCTATTTTATTCAGGCAGGTGACAATGACCTCGAGGGTGTCTTTCAGCACCCGAGGGTGACTGGCAGGGGGGAAAAAGACGAGATGGGCTAACGGATTTTGGGTTCCCAAGCACCTGCCCTTCCCGATCCAGCCCCTCCCTCCCCCCGTAGCAGTGCAGAGCAGAGCGCAGGCGCAGGAACGGCCTGTGCCGTGTCAGACAGGTTTGCTGTTCAGTGTGTGTGCACTGCGAGACCGAAGTAATTTTCTTTCATTCTTTTTTTTTATCCTGTAGATCGCCAGTACCTACTGCAACATCTTTTCTCCCTACACAGCGACTCCAGCTTGGGAGGGCAGGGCCAGGGTTGCCACAGCTTCCCCTGTGGTGTCTGCCTGCCAAGCACAGCTCTGGAGTTAGCCCTGGGTGTGAGGTGAGAAAGAGATTGCATGGTCTGGTTTTTTTCCACTCACTCGGGCAGCTGTCTGGCCCGCAGTTTGGGCACGCACACCCCCCTGCCGGAACGGCCTTACCCCCCACCCACACCCCGCAGGCTCGCCTGCTGCGGAAGCAGCCACCGCTTAAGCCCCAGGGCAGCCCTGCCATTGGGTGGGATCCCCCCTTTAAAACCCGCCCCAGTTCTGTTTTTAGCGTTTTCTCTTTTTCCTGCACTATCGGTCCATCCGCCCCCCGGCCCCGCCCCGCCCCGGCAGGGACCTGGTAGACCTCATAGACTAGCCATGTAGACAGACAGACTGGACAGCTGGATCTAGGCCTTGCCGCGATGAGACATAGCAAGCACGCTTTCTACTTCTGCTGGGGGTTTTGTTGGCCTCGGTCCGGTCCGAGGCTACCTCGGAGGCTCCGGGTAGCGGAGGTCTGGAGAGGGCTCGCGCTGCTTGGATGGGCCCTTGCTGTGTGGTGCCTGTCCCGCCGTGGCCCACGCAGTGGTCCCAACCGGATGGTGTTTGTCTTTCTGCTTTGCAGGTTCTCTCCCGAGGCTGCTTCGCGGCGGGGGCTGAGCACAGCAGAGATGAACGCGGTGGAGGCCATTCACAGAGCTGTGGAGTTCAACCCTCACGTGCCAAAAGTGAGTGTGGGGACCCCGCGCAGGGACCGGTTGGGAGAGCCGAAGTCCCGTGCGCCCCGAGGTCCCGTGCGCCCCGGGATCGCGGACACTCTGCCGCCCAGGGCCTTTGTAAACAAAAGCTACATGTGTGAAGCTCTGGGGCCGATTCAGGGCTTCACAGACTACGGGGAGACGCACGCACGGACCTGGTCTCGGCAGGCCAGGTCAGGAAGTCTGGGACTGGCAGAAAGCAGCGAGAGCCTGATGCCCTTGGCAGGAACTGCCCCGCAGTCGCAGCCTTAGAACCCATTCAGGAAGCACACCTGGCTGTGGCTAAAAATCGTAACAAGATACTGACCAGGGTGACCCTCCCTGCCTCTGCCGATAAAACCGACCCCATCGGTACTGGCAAGAAAAGACTAGGGGGGAACTCCGGAGTATGAAGAAGCACTTCTCATCCGTCCCCAGTGCAGTTTTAACAGTTCGCCATAGTCGCAAATATGTGTCTATCCTTGACAGTTTCTCAGTACGTACTATTTCCCATCTATTTTTCCAAGATTCATTTTAAGGGCGTCAAATCCACGTTCTATTTCTCTGTTTGCCTCTCTATCCCCATCATTGCTCATTCGGGAGATGACTTTATATGGATGAGTTGCCTGGACGGAGGACCTGCTGTGTACAGGCACATATCCACCCAAGGGTCCCCCGCAGTTTCTGGCCATGTCTGGACAAAGCCCCTATTGACCGCTCAGAAGCAACTCACGCATTTCCCATCAGGGACTACGAGGGATGCTAGTGTTCTCGGCAAGATGTCTGCTAAGGACTTCCGTTAGTAGCCAAATGGAGGGTGGTGGTGATGGTGTTGGTGGTGGTGTCTGTGGGGGTGGTGGTGGTGGTGGTGGTGGGGGTGTGTGTGTGCATGTGGTATATGTATGGTGATGATGTATAGAGTTTCCATTCGAATGTACTTTGCCGATCTCCATGGTGACAGAGATCAGTGATCTAATATCATTCCTGAGGTTTTATTCAAGTCAGGGTCATTCTTTAGCTTACAGAGCAGTGCACAGCGCCACCTTTGCCTCAGGGTGTCTTTGTCCTTGCTGTCCCTGTGGAGAGTGAACAGGCATGTGTGCCCTCGGGGAGCAGTGTAGACGGGCACTATGAAATAGACCTTATGGAGTATACCTACAGTGAATCTAGAAATGTTTATTCAACTCTGGTTGAAATGTGAAATGCTACTTGGAAATAATTTCCTGAATCATGGTAAACTTAGGTCATCAATGAAGAGTTATTCAACACCATTCTCTGACTACAGAGTTAGCGCATGAGCTCGAATAATGGCCCTTTCAGAAGTTGCATTGTGCAATAGGATCCTGGATTCATAGACAAAAACTGGAGTTCACATTCTGGCCATGTGACCTGGACTGAGCGTCTCTGAACTCAATGTCTTTCCTCAAGTTTACAAATGAAGTTTACAAAAAAAAATAGAAGTCCTAACAAATGTCTTTGATAACAACCAAATGAAAAAAAACATTTTGGAAGTTCTTCGAAAACACTTGAGCACCACAAATTCATCAAGTATTAAAATGATTGATATTTGGTTTGTCGGCAGCTGCTTAAAGCCAGGAAGAAATCCACTCCTCAGTGTGTACTACACAGAGTCTTGTAATCCTGGCCTGTTTTAATTGAAGCAGCTATTTAATGACCTGAAAGATTTAACCAAGCATCTAAAGCAGTGGTTCTCAACCTTCCTAATGCCGTGAGCCTTTAAGACAGTTCCTCATGTTGTGGTGACCCTCCAACCATAAAGTTATTTGCATTGCTACTTCTTAACTGTAATTTTGCTACTGTTATGAATTGGGTGACCCCTGTGAAAGGGTCTTTTGACCCCCAACCTGTCGAGACCCACTGAGAACCGCTGCTCTAGAGGACTGCTAGCAGCCCTAAGAAATAGTTTAAAGCTCCCATGGAAGACTTTGACTGAGTCCAATAGCACTTCACTGGCAAAATGCAGTTCTTGTAAGAGTGGACACAATGAAATATATGATTCTCCTCTACTTTCTAATCCTGAAAATGACAACGACTAGGGCATCCAGAAAACCAGTTCTCCACCAGTTTGTGCTGCTGATGATTGTGTTCTGAGGGGACTAGGGTCTTCTCTTCCGAGATCTTCTTCATTTAGGGCAGTGGTTCTCAACCTTCCTAATCCTTGACTTTAAGACAGTTCCTCATGTGGCGGTGACCCCCCCAACCATAAAGTTATTTTCGTTGCTACTTCATCACTCTCATTTTGTTACTGTGATGAACCGGGCAACCCCTGTGAAAGGGTCGTTCAACTCCCAAAGGGGTCATGACCTACCGGTTGAGAACTGCTGATCTAGTGGAATTTCCATGCGGGAAGGGTGTTGTGAGGCTTTAACCTCATATGTTCATCATTAACTATAGAGCTCTACTATACACGTACTGTACACAGATGCTATAAATCTTTAAAATACATTTTGCTGTTTGGTTAGAAAGCACACAAATAAGTATCTTTGCAAGGAGAGAATGGCCTTAATTCTATTGAGACATCAGGGAAGAATATATAGCTTACGAGATTCTTAGTATAAGGAGCCCTGGTGGTGGAGTGGGCTGCTAACTGCAAGGTCAGCAGTTCAAAACCACCAGCCTCTCTGTGGGAGAAAGGAGGCTTTCTACTCCCATAAAGAGTTATAGTCTCATAAACTCACAGGAGCAGTTCTGCCCTGTCCTATATGGTCTCTATGAGTTGGAATTGACTCAAGGATGATAATGATGATGACGATGATGGTGTGAGGGTACCATAACCATATAGATTATGTTGGTCAACTTCCCTTGCTAAGCTTGTCTCTCCTCATAATGATGCTGTGGTCATTCTTTCCATTTTTGGTCTTTATTCAAGCACCATGCTAACTAAACCGAGTATGCTGCCATCTCATTTACTTTTCTTCACAACGCTGTGAGATTCTATGATATTGCCCACAACACAGATGAGGGCATTGAGGCTTGGAGAAGTCTCAGAGCAAGTAAATGAAAGAGCATGCACTAAATCTGAGCTATTTGACTCTTAACAGTGGCTGCCTGCTGTGGGCTTGAATGCTTCAAATTGGCACATACACATTCTGTCCCTAGGCACCCCACTCCAAGTGGACGATTGCTGTTGTTCCAAGATACTATCCTACCTTAAACCCTTTCACACCTTCTTTCTCCCTGTCACAGGACGTGACTAAAGGCCCACCCGTAAGAATTTTCTGTGTCCACATGCGGCTCCAAGAAGAAATATCAAATATAATACCTTAATCCTGCCTACCACAAATTTCTACCTGGACTCCCATCAAACAAAGGTTCATAGATATTATTTGAAAAACCCAAGAGAATTATTAGTGATTTACTCCAGGAGAGGTCTCTTAGGAACTCTCTGAGAAGACTCTGGAAACAGAAGTGGGGCATAGGGAGGAGTATATGTTGCCCTTATCACACTACAGGGCTGGCAAATAAACTTAGAAAAACCGGGAGTCTCTGAATCTTTCACAGGGGTTGCCCGGTTCATCACAGTAGCAAAATGACAGTGATGAAGTAGCAATGAAAATAGTTTCATGGTTGGGGGTCCCTACCACATGAGGAACTGTCTTAAAGGGTAGAGGCGTTAGGAAGGTTGAGAACCACTGCTCCTGATGGTGAGTCAGATTCTAAACCCTAGGCCAGGAGTCCCCAAACTACGGCCCTGGGCCACATGCGGCCTACCAAGGACATTTATCCCGCCCGCTGGGTGTTTCTGCCCCATTTTGTATTTTACTTCAAAATAAGATATGTGCAGTGTGCATAGTCTTTTTTTAAACTATAGTCTGGCCCTCCAACGGGTCTGAGGGACAGTGAACTGGCCCCCTGTTTAAAAAGTTTGAGGACCCCTGCCCTAGGGTTTCTGAAGGTTTCCATCCTAGCAGACTAGTCATAAAGAAACAGGCGCACAGGTAGACTAGTCATTACATGTCGTGTCGCTCCTGCCTCCTACACAAGACAGTTCTGAGCGCCTCTCCAGGGTGGTTCTTTAGGGCCTCTTTGTTTCACATGCTCTGCATGTGTCCAGAAACCTCCTCTTCCTCTTCCATCTTTGTTTCCTCTGAGGAATCTGAAGCATCCTTCCCACAGTCCCCTGCCCCCACCTTGAAGAGTCACCACCAGGAAGCTTGTGCCTGCTGGTCCTGCCTTGCCCTCCCCTCGGTGCTCCAGGCCTTGGCTATGTGCTTATTGTGGCTAGTGCCCCCACCACCACCACCACCTCCAGGACAGTTAGGAGCAGCCTGAGGGGCACGTACCCCAGACCTCAGTCTGTACCAGGCCCTTGGCTATCCCTCTATTAATTTGATATTTCATGAGAACTACAGAAGTGCTGAGATCATAATGCCTCTGGTGATTTTCGAAGACCAGGCACTTTGTTTAAGAAGACAGAAAGACCTCTTTCTAATCCAGCCTAGGAGGCTTCCCAGCTGATGGAGTGGGGTCGCCTCATAAAAGCTTTCTGCCTTTCCCTCCCCAACCCCCGTCATAGATCTAAAAGAGTCCCCTTTCCTAGAGGTTGAGCCCACACCAAAGTTTTACAAATTAAAAGGAGGATTTTTCATTCTTGGGGAAAAAAATTTCATTCACATGATACTGGTTAGGGAGCCTTGGTGGCAGTGTGGGGTACAAGATAGAGAGCTAACAGTAAGGTTTGTGGTTCAAACCCACCAGCCACCTCTTTGGAGAAAATGAGGTTGTCTGCTTCCATAAAAAGATTTAGACTCAGAAACATTATGCAGGGTCCCTTTGACAAAGGGCAGAGGGTGGGATGTTGTATAGAATGTTCCCCCGGTCTCATCTTTGTATTGTTATGTTTATTGGGTTTGGGGCTTTGGCTTTTTCTTCTTTCCCTGAAAATGTGCACCCTTTTGCCCATTTCCTTGACTGTGTAGTGAGTTCCACTTTTGGGGTGGGGGTACTTTTTCACTGATTTGGCTCTTGAT